GGAGACAGGTTTGGCACCAACCAACATTAATCCAAACCAGAACACAGAAAGGCCAGGGCTCTGCTACCAGGGTTCCCAGCCAGAAAAGATGGCAAGATGAAAACAGGCAAAGCAATGGCAGCCTGCTTGTTGCATAAAGGGGTTCCATCTTGAGGAAAGCCTAACCAGCAGTAAATACTTCAAGGATACAAACATGAGGGCAGAGAGAATGGAAAGCCTTTCACGGTAAGGGGACAACAGCAACAAAAATGAAAGCCAAAAGTTCTGGGGATAGAATTCACCTGACTAGGGGAGCAACTCCATGTGAAACACATTTGCCTTCTCTGACTTAGAGCACCAGCAAAATACAGTCAATTACATCTCAATAAACTTCCAACTTTTTCTAGGCCCAGGTAGCAACTATATATTTCTGAAGTAATACACAGTACAACAAATCTTTTAACATAATTTACTATTTTACCCAGTTTTTACCTGGATTTTTCGTTTTATTCTAAGGGGAATGTGCCTTGAAGAGGTCCTAAGAGATGGTTTTGGTAGTCTAGATTTCTGGCTTGAGTCTATGAAAGATTTTTGTACTTGACATTTCATAGGGGGAAGAAAAGGCTAAACAAAACCCAAAGCCACCGTAAAAGTCTCCCAATCTTTCTCTATCTAGGTGCAATCTTAAACATATTAGCTCTTCAGCAGAGAACTATGTTCATATTTTTTAATTAGGTGATTAAAAATATTTGAAATGGCAGCAAAACAATGGCCAGCTTTTGACAATCCAAAGGGAAAAAAGGAAAAGGTGACATGATTAGCATTGGTAAGCTTAAGTTTAATAACGTGATCATTAACATTTTCCATGGATAAAGAACAAGAACCCTTACAATTAAAAGGTCTCAGCAAGAGTGTCAACTCTGTCCTGGTCAGCCAGACAGGCCTCAGACGCTCCTTTAATCATAGCCTGTAAATTCATAGTGGCATTTACAAACATCAGGATGTACTTCATGTAAAATGCAATTGGTTCAGCCAGAAGTTTCCCTAACAGCAACGGACTGAAGAGCAGTGGTTCTCCCAGGGTCCCTTCTGCCCTCTTCCCACCAGCAATATAAGCCACACCTGGGAACTTGTTAGACATGCAAACCTCCCACCCACAGAATCACAATTGCAGCGGAGGGGGTCTGGCAATCCATTTTAAACAACCCTCCAGGTAATTCTGATTTAAGGCCAGCTGTAGAAGATACTACAGAGATTTTGAGTGTGACACCAAGCACAAGAGGCCTAATTCAGTGTGTACAAGCCATTTTCATTTTCCTTAACCAAATCTCCTCTTCCCATTGCCCATCCCTTTTAGAGGGCCGTGCAAAGAGTAGGACTTTGTTCAAGACACACTTTGAAAAGGTCCTTAGATAGGCCTAATGGAAAAGGCATCTATTTTTCATATGTTACCACAGTAACAAGAAGAATCATTTATTCCTATAAGAAAAGTACCCTTTGCAGGGGACATTGAGTATTTACAGAAAGATCACTTTATCCGGAGGAACTCAAAATTTGGAAAAGCAAATATGGAAAACTTGGCCTCTAAGACTTCCATGTACACCTTTACAGGCCACGTTCTAAACGAACAGTCCCTAATTACAGCTGCCCAATACGGAAAACATGTGTCCTAGGAAAACCTCCACCGTCTACTCTGAAAGACATCATGTCCGTGTAATAGAGGAAAAAAAGTCTTATTTCAGTTCCCGTGCTGGTCCCTCAGTCTTGACTTAAACAGGGAAGGTGATCTATTTCACCTCTGCCCATCCTTAATGCTACTTTGGGTCCTGTGACACCCTTCTTTAGGTCCACATTCAGTCTTTATTTATGGGAGTTGCAATAAAAATAATAAAGCTTATCTCTGGATTATAAAACTATTTCATATCACAAAATCAATTGCATTTTGTGTGCAGTCCTTGTTTTTAGTTTATAAATAGCTTCCATATTTACCATCTCATTTGAATCTTACAACAGCCTGTGAGCTGAACACAGTTTTATTATTCCCACTTTACAGATGAGAAAACTGGAACTTAGAGCTAACCTCAACAAACAACGGATCACTGAACATTAAAGAGGAGACACAAATGCTTTGCATAAAAAACTAAAGCATTCATGATGTCTAAAAGAACCTCCACATTTGCTTGAATTTGTCATCAGCCAAATAATAGTCATCAGAAATTACCTAGGTAGGTTTTTAGGTTGGGTGATATTTTTCTAAGGAATGGTAAATAGCATGGAGATGAGATAAACAAAAACCTACAAACTCTCCCAGTTGTACAACTCACATAACCTGCAATGATGTCTGAAATTCTATGGGGCTCAAAGTAACAACAAAGGTGATGCTGATAAGATTAAGCTCTTACTCATACCAGGCACTCTTCTGAATATATTAAATATATTCAACAACCCTATTAATATCCCCATTTTAGAGGTGAGAAAAACAAGGCACAGAAAAGCTAAGTAACTTGCCCAAGTCACACATGTTGCTCAGTGAACACAGAGGAGGAAATGTAACTGGAAGTGCCAAGCTCCTGTGCGGTCTGCCTGCCAGTGATGGAAACCTGACATGGGAGGGAAGCTACCACAGGAACATGGGTTATGTTTCCAGTGTTGCCATTTGGGCAACAGTCTTCACATTCGCTTATTCGAAACATTAATCAATGCTCAGGTTCCAAGTAATCGAACATTAACTGAGACTCCTAACAGCCAGTTCCTTCTCAGACTGTCCCCACAAAGGTTTCCTAGATCTTGGGTAGCAATGGAACGCTAGTTGATTCTCCTGGAACTGCCTTCAACTATTTAAGAAAAACCAGAGGGGAAAGCAGCTTTGGAGGAAATGTGCAAAGTAAAGCTGTGTGTGGGAGGCAGCATTTCTAGTAAATGTACAGAACTCAAGGCTCTGATTTTACTTTTAAAGATGTGTAAATAAAAAGGAGTCCTCACTGGTGGTATAAGTTACTCCTGCCTTTTTTTTCTCCACTGTTTTCAACTTGCTCACATTTTGGAACTGTGCGAGCCAGCTTTTACATAGTGATCAATCTTTTAAAGTTTATACATCATCTTCTTAAGGAAGGAAACAAAGATCAAGCTGAAAAGAACATTCAGGCAATGGAGAAAAATTACATGATAAATAAATGCAGTCTTCATAGGCAAGTATACTGTAATGGGAGCGTGGTGTGTAGGGACAACTTTCCAACACTTACTCAAATGTGCTGATCTTCCTCATTTCCTGCCTCTAATTTTTACCTAATAACCACCTTGAGATCCCAGGAATTCAAAAGGAAGCCCAATTTAACACCAAGTTCCAGGGTATTCCATATAATCTCTCTTGAAGGCAAAGTCCCAAAACTGAGAGATGGGACTATGATGACCACAAGTCAGGTAACACTTCACATTCACATTCCTTCCACATTCTTTGACAGTCCTGGTCCAACTACTTATTGTGGACCCTGTGTGCTTTACTTTCTTCTGCTGTTTAATGAGGATAATATTAATACCTTCTCTCAGGTTGGTTTGAAAACTGCATGAATTAACAAATGTAAAGCACTTGGAACTGTCTGACACAAAGTGCTGAATAGCGTCAGCTGTTACTACTACTACTTACTACTATTATTTACAAAAACATTACAACGGATAATTATATCCAGAAAGCTTCCATTGTATTAGTAATATTTTATTGCTTTTTCTAAAACTCAGAAATCAGAGCAGCAGTCAATACATGCAAACAAAAAAGGTAATTCTTCAAAAAAGTGGGGGAAAAGCCTCCCATAGCCTCATACCCATGACACCTGCTGGTGAGTTTCGGGTAAGGGCATAGCTGGGAGCATCCGGTTCCACCGCTGCCTTGTATTTCTCTTAGAGGATGCCTCCCCTTCTGCTGCGGTTTTTAATCAGCGTTTCAAGGGAAGGGTTGCAGGCGGGGCCGCGAACCCCCTGAAGTTGTACACGGAGCTGGGTGAGGCTGCGGCTCTGGGCATTTCTGGGGAGGGGTTCCATGGCTTTCCACAAACTCTAACCACCCGGTAGCGAGCCACAGGCTATCCAGGGTTAAACTCCGGGCATATCGAGCGAACGCTTCACGGAAGACTGTAGCAATAACCGGGACACCTGCGCTGTTACTCAGCTATCTCAAAACCAGAGAGACCCGGCAGCACAAGGGGGAAGAGCTGGCCAGGAGGCGCGCGGTGCTGCGCCCTCATCGCGCCCAGACAGACCTGTGTACTTCGCTGCGGGATAACGCACCGCTCAGCAGACCTGACCCGGGAGAGGGGTTTCACTTCCCCTCCCCTTCTCCATCACTCCTAATTTCCAAGAACAAACTCAAAGGAAACTGGCAGCGCAAGGTCTAGGGTTTCACTCCTGCCCTCGGCTGACACCAAAACCACTTCTCCCAGGGAAATTATTTAAAAGAACCATTAATCCGCACAAAAATCCAAAACCTACCCCAAAACTCAAGAGCTCTGAAAGGAGATTGAGGGCGCCTCTGCGGATCGCAAACCTCTCCTCTGCTGGTCGCTGGGGCTTAGGGGTGGGCAAGGGGGCGCCACAGGGGCGCAGGCAAGACCCAGCCAGAGGGTCGGTCGCCGGTCCCGGTTCCGGCCCGGTCTACACGCCAGCGACGCCGGCGGAGCTGGGCTCGGAGGCGGCCAGGTAAGCATATAGGTGTGGGCATGTGTCTGAGCAGACAGCCGCGCGGATTAAAGTTCAAGCCCGTTCACACTCCGCTTCCCTCCCCTTCCCAGGCATTCTCACGCACGGCCCAGGCAGCCACTTTCCCCGGGAAGCCTGGGCGCTGGTCCGGACAGTCTACTCTTTGTCATCCTTAATGACTCTCCTTCCCTCCCAGGCGCCAACCCATTGAGACAATTCACCTCTCTCCCCTCTCCCAGGCGGGCGCATAAACCCCCGGAAAGGAGAACTCGGGGGGTCGGGGGAAGCAGGGTGTCGCGGGGCGCAGGGGGCGCCGCAGGCGGCGTACGTACCCAGCGCGAACAGGGCGAGCTGTCCAGCCGAGGGGACCATTGTACGTGCGGGCTGGCGGGCGGGCAGCAGGCGCTGCAGCCTCCTGCCCTACCTGCGGTGCCCGAGTGGCGGAGCGGCGCCGCGGTGCGGGGGAAAAAGGCGCTGGCTAGGAAGGGCCTGCCCCCGGCGCCGGCGGGCGGGCGGAGGGAGGACCGAGCGCCTCTCTGCTCGCACTCGCCCTGCAGCGCTGCCCGCCGGGCGGAAATAGGGAGGCGGCTACCGTCACCTCCTCGCCACTCGGCGACCGGGGCACGGCTGACCCCCTCCCACCTCGACGGGGGTGCCCCCCTGAGGGCACAGAGGGTGGGGGTTTGGGGAAAGGGGCGGGGACGCCGAGCGCACCGAGCTGGGCGCGGGCGGCGGGGCTGGGCGGGGCGACCTGGGATCCCGGAGCTTGGCGGCGCGAGCCGGGCACCCGGGCCCAGGAAAAGGCAGGAAGCGCCTGACTTGAGACACCACCCCAGATTGCCAGCGCCGTGCTGCCACGGACTCCCAGCGTGAGGAGTCGGCGCCAGCCGCGCAGCCGGAGCCTCCCGGGCCGCAGTGGCGGCTTCCAGGCTCTAGGCGGCGGAGCGGAGCCGCCCGGGCGCCCGTTACCTGCACCGAGGGGCCGCTCCTGGAAAAGGGCTTGTTTCGCCGACTTGGCTCGTGGAAAGTGCTCCCCCGAATTTGTGAAGAATTTGTTAAACCAGGTTTCCCACCGTGCCCCATCCCCATCAATTCTGGCAACGCTGCAGCCTTACCTCCCAGGCAGGCCACATGGTTAACATCAGTCTTCATACCTCTGGCCTGGGGTTGATAAAAAGATGGGTCTCTGCCGACGTCGAATCTGGTTATACAGCACCACCAGCTGAGGCCAAGAGCCTGCTAGCGTGTCACCAAGTGTACCCCAAAAGAGGGGTGTGTGGGCCCAAGTCACCTGGGTGGTCCTTTCAGGATTTGTGGCTCTGAGGTGGCCCCTGGTGTTCGAATTTGAGGAGGTGGAGGGGATAGAGGGAAGACATTCTGGGTAAAGAGTGGAAGATCCATAGGGGACAGTACACCCGGGAGAGTCATATTCTCCAGGTACCTAGAGCTCACACACTGACCCTCTTTTCCTGCCTCCTCTGACCTAGCTGCTCCGGGTAGATCTACTTTCCCTGGAGGTGGGGGTGGGGACGGCTGGGCCTGGAATCTCTTGCTGTTCACTTGGCAGGAGGTCCAGACACTCAGGATTGACTTTTGCCCAGTTTGTTTCATGTAAGTAGAGCAGCCTAGTTTCCAGATGGAAGCACCAGGCTCAACATTTGGGCAGGAAGCACCACTGTAAATCTTACCTTTCAACATATTTATTTGTCGGAGCATATTTTGTTCTTTTAGGGTAAGTCTTTTCCTTGGTCCACACCATGCATGTACAAAGCACACACGCACTTCCTTCAGCAGGTTGTCCCTGACTCCCACTTCCTTCAGGTTAATCTTGACCTGCTCTGGTGGTTTCCCTGTCTCCTCCCTCAAGTAGCCAGCCTTGGCTACAGAAGGGGAGGAATCAGGGGTTCCCCCACCCTTCTCCTGTTCCCCTGGACTAGAGAATGGACCTGTCGCCTTGCTTCCTCCTGGAACATGCACATCAAGCTCACTGTGACTGAAGGATGGCTGCGCAGCCGGCTGAGAGTCATGCTCTCTGCCCCCTAGCCCCAAAGTCAGAGGTGGGAGGAAGTAGCAGAATCGAGCCAAGGAGTTTGTTTCCTTCATGATTGGAAAATATTTTAAATCAAGAGGTAACTTGTAGGCCAAGCTCAGTGGCTCACACCTGTAATCCTAGCACCTTGGGAGGTTGAGGTGGGTGGATTGCTTCAGCTCAGGAGTTTGAGACCAGCCTGGGCAACATGGTGAAATCCCAGCTCTACTAAAAATACAAAAAATTAGACAGACATAGTGGCATGCACCTGTAGTCCCAGCTACTTGGGAGGCTGAGGAATGAGAATCGCTTGAACCTGGGAATTGGAGGTTGCAGTGAGCCAAGATTGTGCCACTGCACTCCAGCCTGAGTGACAGAGCAAGACTCTGTCTCAAAAAAAAAAAAAGGAGAGATAATTTGCCATCCTGCAAACTAAAGAGTATCCAAATTAAAGTACATTCTAATGCTTGAAAATCATTAATTCCCCCTCCAAGATTTTCAAAAGCTGGTCCATATCTGCAGTTTTATAACCTTCCAATTCATTCAAGTCAAACAGGTAATCAAGGGTTGAGTGTTGTTTTTTTTTTTTTTTAACATAAAGATCATTTTTTGGTAAACTAAATTGAAATGATTTTTGAACATTTAGTCATAGAACAAGGAGGAAACCTAATATCCTAAATTGCTGATGCTCTGGCTTTGCATTTTATATATCTCATTTAATCATCACAACATCTTTATGAGATAGATCCCATCTCCCTTTTACAAGAGAACAATCAAGGCTGAGTGAATGTAGTAACTTACTCAGAATTACACAGCCAACAAGGGGCAGAGCTCGATTTTGAAAGCAGAACGAGCTGGTTCCAAGGCTCATGTGCTGGCTTCTACGCTATGCTGCCTTGGTTTCCACATTTTAAATAAGGATAATGCTTAACTCATTGAGTTGATGTGAGTACCAAATGCATACCTAGTACAATGTTTGACATCAACAAAACTACCTATTATTTAAAGGAAAACTCCCTCAGTGGACACACCTTTCCCTTCTCTCAGTTACTTACCACTATCTTTATGTTATCATTTTCGTATCAGTTCCTTTGTTTGAGCGTATGGGTGTACATGCACATGCACACCTCTTCCTATGGGAAATATTGTCACAGGTAAACCAGGAGCTATGAAGCTGTTTCTCAGCCTATGGTGTGAAAGAAATTAGAAAAAAAAATCGGCAGAATGCAATTTAGAGCAAAGCAATCATTTTTCCTAAAGGGTGGTGTGACCTTTTGTATTGGAACACCTCACTCTCTGAGCCGAATGAAATTCCAGCTGTGGCCCCTTGAAACTGTGTGGAGACTCAGGTGTGCTCCTTTACCTACAGACACTGCACCTGTCTTGTTTGGCCACTGCAGCTCCTGTTTCTCTGCATGTGGAGCCTGATGATTATGTGGGCTTCCCACTAAGAATCTGCCTGGACTGCGTTTGCACACACTTGCCACAGCTGGCCTTGAGCTCTGTATAATCTCTTCTGTGAGAAGCCAATCACAGCCTCTCCTCCCTGTGCAAACAAGAGAACTGTGTTATGCTCTACTGAGAGCCAATAAAACACCCTGTCAGTTTTCCCTTTCCTTTCTCCTACATGCTTATTATAGAGGGTATGATTAGAGAGCCCCCTTCTTCACTATGACCAGCCTCCCCTTCCTGATTCATTTGTGGAAGTAATTGTAGAGCTGTGAGCACCAGAGCCTTCCCTGAATGATTCAGGCCAGCCAAGCTTGCTGTTTTAGATCAGCAGTTACCCAAGATACTGGGGAGTGAACAGCCCAGACATTCTTGAGAGGAAGCACAGCCGTGGCCCAGCATTGAAGGAATTAAAATTTCCACAGTCGAGCCCTGGGGAGCAGTGACTGGGGCCGGCTTCAGGTGGCTGCGGGACCTTCCTGGGTGACAGCAGCTGGCAGCCGGGCTCAGAGGGAAAACGTACAGTGGGAGGGGAAAGGAGAAGATGTCATCTGTGTATGAGAAAGAGAGAGAGAGAAGTTTTATTAAGGACTCTGGAGAACTGTGTTTAGGGAGAATGAGATTTTAATGTGTTAAGGGATTTTGAAAAAGAAATCTATTGTCTAAATATCAGCCCCCTCTGGGGCCTCAGCTATTAGTGTGTTCCTTATCTCTTGCCAAAGGAGAAAGTAGGAAACCTTATGCTGGGCTCATTTTTACAGTTTTCATCACCAGCGTAATGGGCAAGGTAAGAAGAGATAAGAGGCATTTGCTTTGTTTTCAGCTATCTGGGTGATTTTCATTGCCAGTATTGTCCAAAGACTGGTCTGACCTTCTGCTTAACATCTTCCATCCCCCAGCTCTCAGAGCTACCTTTGGAAGCACACTGAAGTCTAAAATTAAGTTTGAATCTTTCCTTTCCAGAGGAGATTTCACAGAATGGCTCTAAAGCCCAGTACTGAAGTCTGCAGGTTGGTGTTCCACTAGTGGTCCACACAACTCCGTGTCCTAGTCAAGGCACTAGGTCAGAGACTCTAGGAATCAGGGTCACCAGGTGGCTGCCACATGAAAGACTTCATATAGTTTGTGAACATCCCAGATGACAGGATGGAGTAGTGGTACCCACAGGATTCATTACAGCCGCTGTGAAGCCATTCCGTTAAATGTGCTTGGAGGCAGAACTCTGCATTCAATTCTGTCTTCCTGTCTTTGCTATTGTCCCCAGCAGTTTCAGCCATACAGCCATACCCTTCTGAAGGCTGGGAAGATTGCCCCGGGGTCCTCAGGAGTGCCCCTGGGAAAGTGCTAAATCAAGCACCCAGAAATCCTTAGGGAAGTACACTTGTGATGTTGATGGAAACAGGGTAGGGATGATCAACAGAAGCAAAAGAGAGATAGGAGGAAGAAAACGTGAAGAACTGAGGAAAGAGAAATCGAAGAACTATAGAGAGCTGAAAAGGTGGCTTAACAGTTTGTTTTTCAATGATGGGTCAGTCTGCCTGATAAACTCAAGGGATTCTCTCCAAGCTCAGAGGAAAAGGGGCAAAAAAAAAAAAAAATTGAGAGAGCTAAAGGGTGAGACAAAGTGAGAAAATCCAAAATACAAATGGAGTGCTCGGAAAGAAAGCAGAGAGCTGATAGAGGAGAAACTTCTTATATCTCCCAACAGGAGGGCCTAGTGATGGGAAGAGGGTGTTATGTATCCCATAGGTCTATAAGGTGGAGAGGATCTTGTTTAAAGAGACTATGAAAGGTGCAAGGATAAACTTCCATTCTGTGACAGACATCCAAACCCTCACATTGAACTTCTCATTCCACCCCCCCCCGCCCCCCCGCTTCCAAACTCCCATTGAAGAACCAAAAGAAAATAATGTTAGGGGAAAATCTATGTCATTATTCAAAATGGAAAGAAGAATTCCACCCACATGCCAGACGTTGTAAGGAATTTCTGTAAGACAATGCAGATGAGACTGGTTTGAGAGAAGGATTTGACAACCTTCAATTCACCTCAGAGAAAAGCCTCTCCAGGGAAGGACCCCCACCCCCAACCGCAGACACAGTAATGCTCCCAAGTTGTTCGTGACAAGAGCTGCAGGCAAAAACAAACCACAGAGGCTGGGCGTGGTGACTCACGCCTGTAATCCCAGCACTTTGGGAGGTCGAGGCAGGTGGATCACCTGAGGTCAGAGTTCAAGACCAGCCTGGCCAACACAATGAAACCCCAATTCTGCTAAAACTATAAAAAAAATTAGCCAGGTGTGGTGGTAGTGCCTGTAATCCCTACTTGGGAGGCAGAGTCAGGAGAATCTCTTGAACCTGGAAGGCGGAGGCTGTGGTGAGCCAAGCTTGTGCCTCTGCATTCCAGCCTGGGCAACAGAACATGACTCTGTCTCAAAAATA